AGTATCAATACTGCTCCATTTGAAGCCCTTTACGGCCGTAAGTGCAGATCACCTCTGTACTGGACGGAAGTGGGCGACACACAATTAGCAAAAGGTCTAGTCCCTGATAGCACCCTCACTGGTCCAGAGATCATCAGAGAAACTACTGAAAAGATCGTGCAAATACGAGAACGACTGAAATCCTCGAGGGATAGGCAAAAGAGCTATGCCGACAAAAGACGTAAACCCTTGGAATTTCAGATTGGCGATCGTGTACTACTGAAGGTCTCACCCTGGAAGGGCATGATACGCTTTGGAAAACGTGGGAAGCTAAATCCTAGGTACATTGGACCCTTCGAAATCATTTCAAGAGTTGGTCCAGTGGCCTACAAACTCCGACTTCCAATCGAGCTTAGCAAAGTACATCCAGTATTCCACGTATCAAACCTGAAGAAGTGTTTGTCCGATGAAACACTGGTAATTCCACTCGATGAGATCGAACTGAATGAAAATCTTAACTTTGTGGAAGAACCCGTCGAGATCCTGGATAGGGAAGTTAAACGAACTAAACAGAGTCGCATTCCAATAGTAAAGGTCCGATGGAAGGCTAAAAGGGGACCTGAGTTCACGTGGGAACGAGAAGATCAAATGCAACAGAAGTATCCACATCTCTTCCTCAGCCCCTAAGACTCTTCTTTCGTATTAAAATTTCGGGACGAAATTCCCTCTAACGGGGGGATGATGTAACAGCCCGTCATTTCAAGTCAATAAAAATCGAGTCCTGTAACTTCTTCGAGAAAGGAATTAGAATATCATCAAAAAATGAAGTATTCAAAAACTCTATTTGGAGTATTCTATGTGGTAGGTATTGTCTTAAGGTTTCCAAACATATAAATAACACAAAAATCCGAGTTATAACGAACAAGTTATGACCATTCTATGTTTTTCCGACAAAAACCGGCAATACGAAGTTACGTAAAAATGGAAAGTTTCAATAAAACACTTTTTGACCTTAGGTGTCTAACTGAAAGTCATAGATATTGTTAAACTACAAACATGCATAAAAAGAACGCTCAAATCGGACATCGTATGAAAAAGTTATGAATTTTTAAAGAAATTCCTTAATCACGTCATTTTAATAAATAAATGATAAAAATAATTTCGGAATTTGCCTACGGAATCTAAATGCAAGTTATAGATCGTAGTCTCACCTTCACGGGGATATAAAGAACGTCGAAAACGGAGTTCGTATGAAGGAGATATGAATTTTTGAAGTTTGATAATTAATTTATATATAATTTTTATTAAAAATTCGGTATTATCCGAAGGGGAGTCAGCCTAGGGCCGTAGTACGTGCCGCGTACCCTCGTACGCCCCGCGTACTCGAGGCCACGGCCTCGGATCGTCCACGTCGCCCCTATGCGAGCTACCCCCTCCCCGTCCCGTCCGAAGCGTTGCAGCCGAGGATGTGGTCAGCAGTGACGTCCCGTACGTGCCGCGTACGGGAGTACGCCTCGCGTACGCATGCCTCTCAGCCCCCTATAAAAGGGTGCGAGAGATTCCGGAAAAATTGCTCATTTACTCTCCTTTTTCTTACGTTTTACCTCGTTTTCCGTGCTCGCACTACCCCGAAGCCCTGGTCATTTAGTGCAAGTCCCGAAGGTCGATTTTACTCCCGAGGAATCCCGAGAATCCCAAGGAAAATCCATTTCCCGAGACGAAACTCTGTCCGGTTTTCCATCTTGCTATCTTCAAACTTTCAAGTGAGTTCATACCCCTTTCAAACACACTTTAAATACATTTTAAATGCTTTTATACTCTTTTAGGGGGGGGGGGATACAAGTAAACATACGGTTATTATCGTGTATTTTATAAAGTTTCACTTCACTTGTTTTATCGAATAAATCACTTGGAATTCATTACTACTATGGAAAACTCTTGTCGTACTTTGCGTGCATTAGACTTATACAAAGTATATAATGATTTCAAAGTACCTTTCATTGTTAAGTCGTTTTATACATTCTAAAAACTTATGATTTTGCTTTGTCAAACATTGTGAAAAAGGATAAACTTTGCATACAAAACTATCACTTTAATGCGGACTTAGTTGAGAATCCATGAGACGTATATATCTTCAAACGCTACTTTTCTTTAATAGAAAGTAATGCTGCAAGTCCTGTCTATAACCAGAGTCTCCCATTCGGAGAACGTGTCAAATGTGTATAGATCTATACAGGAAGTCATGATCCCGCGCCTTGACTGTTAGCTACAGTCCGTCCTTTGGGGTGACAGTTGTCATAACACTGCGACGCTTGAAGAACGTCGTTACAGGCATATTATGTTTAGTATGGTTATAAAACTCATCGGATATACAATTATTGTGGTATTATGCTTTTATGAATGAGTGGCTATTAAAACTGTTCTTCATCTAACAAACGCGATCTTCGTATAGCTTTATTATATAAAACTATGACAAAACTTTTAAGAATGTCGTTTTCTTGCGATTTTCGGTCTTAGAGACTGCCAGTCATGTTAGGAAAATAAGGGTTTTTCCTGTATACAAACCAAACAACTAATAGGAAGATAAGGGATTTTCCTGGTGCAATTATTTACAACTTATGACACGAACATTCATATGCATTCCATACTTTTATAAGAAAATAAGGGTTTTTCATGGAAGACACAACAAATCATATCTCAACCATTAGGGAAAATATGGGATTTTCTGGATCTAATACATTCATTTTCAACACAACAAGTCATAACTCTTCACACTTGAAACACTGAGTTTTCTGGAAAACATACACCCATTTTGGAATGGCATCCAATTTTTTCTAAACTACTTATGAACTCACCAACTTAATTGTTGACACTTTTTCTTTGAATTAACTTGTATTCTCAGGGAACCGCTAAGCAGGTTTGGGAATCAACTTTTGGGATTAACGCACTAGCGTTAATTACTTCTTTTGAATGATGTTTTTGTATTTAACTTTTGAACATGTAATGAATACAATTATGTAAACATGTTGGAAACTTTAATATATATATATATATATATATATATATATATATATATGGTGGTGTGTACTTTTGTTTCTATGAACTGTTATGATATTGAATATGACGTCCTCCGCTCCCAAACGTTTCTGTCGTTCTGGTTTGGGGGTGTGACAGCTTGTTAGTGAAGTCTATGAGGTCACTACACTTCTCATTTAAAATTTCACATGAAAAGATTCGTACATCATTTGTATTGAATTATTGATATACTTTTTCATGTTTGCTAGAGAGGATCACACTAATTTCCAGACACTTGTGGTGTTCATATGACGGCGTACGGACTTGGTCTCAGATATGTATATTGAAATAGTTTCAGCACATGTCGAATGCTCGTTTTTAAGGCTCTTGAATTCTTTAAGAATCTGTTAACGGTTTTTAACCTCTTTCTGATGTTTTATTTATCATATCCTTATTTTAATAACAATTTTCTATTTATAATAGGACCTGTGTGATTAAGATGATAGCTGTCAAGTGTACAAATGTTGAGGAGAATTTGAAAAATGAATCTGATTTAGCTAAAAGAACAGTAGAGGTTAACTTCCATTTCCAAATTTTCAACTCATACTTCTTTGTTTACCACTACATTCCTTCACTTGTGTTATTGGATTTTATTATAAAATAATCTTTAGCTAAGAATATTTATTTTTGTTCTTTTCAGTGTGATCCAACATAAAAGAATTCATGAGATGCAGGTTGCAATGTTAGGCTAAGGACGAGTGCATATGAGTATATACTAAGTCTGGTGCACAAGTAATTACATATCATAACTTGAAGGCAATATAAAAAATGAAAACACTAAATAGCAAAGAGTCTAGGTCATCACTCATCTTCGCTGAAAGACAGTCAGATATAACTTGAAAACTAAATCAATTAAGTTAATGAATAAAGCAAAAATGTTATTTTTTATTAAAATAAACTTTATTCAACTAAAGTTTATTGAAGGTGAAAACTAATAGAAATTATCTGATTGGCAATGGCAATGGCAGCTTTTGCTAGTACTTCTATCCTTAATTGTTGTCCCATGGATGCTGCTACCCAAGCCTTTCATTTTAAAGGCACATAATAATAGGGTATGCCATTTTAAAGGCACATAATAATAGGGTATCTCTGCTGAAAGACAGTCAGGGTATGTCTAGTCCTAAGCCATGCCCGACTTATAATCCGACTTATAGTCCTCTTGATATCCTACACATGGAAATCTATAAATCATAACTGAAATAAAGAAGCCAGTGCTTGCAGCATATATTACCCCTGAAGTAGATGTTGTAATAGAGCAAACTGTCAGAAATTGAGGGCTTCCGGTTCCTGCCATGATCCAGTACTTTGTCACATACTGATATAGCTCCCGAAATGTTAATCTTCCAACTTGCAGCTCTTGATCCTTTAAAGCTTTTTGATGAGCTGCTTGGTATTTGGATTCTAGAATTTTTTTGGACTTTGGAATTGATAAAAATGAACATGCATATATTATCAGCAAGATCATTGTCATTCATGGCTTTGATATCTCTAAAGACGTACAACTCCCAATTTCTCAGGTATCATGAACACTATATTCATTATCTTTAACATATTGGTCTTTTTTTCTGATATATCCTATCATACTGATAGGAACTTATTGAAGAGCTACAAATTTACTTTCCGTCATTTGGCAGAGTAGGATATGGAGAGAGTGATCCACATCCAAAGCGTTCAGTTCAATATCATCTACACTTGTATGGATTCAATATCATCACTTTGTTAAAAAGACCAAAATACCCCTATATTGCCTTCTGAAGCATGTGTATTATTTTGTGTAGTCGTTCTAGATGGATGTTCAAACTAGTAATTGACAAAGCAAGGAAGTTATCGCATTGGATAACAATTCAGTCCCGCTTTATGATCGAGGGTACACTTTCGGATTAACTTCAACGGATGATCCAAGTAACGGATTAACTCCAAAGTATTGCTCATAAAGAGAAGGATATATGCTCGAAGAGACCGAAAGACAATGGGAGGAGGTGGATCCTTTTCAGTTGGTGGTCCTGGAAAAGAGATGTACTCTCATCTCTGTGAGTTGCTTCTTCATATTATTTTTATTAAATTTAAAATTAGTTATCATAATTCACATACTAATTTTAATTTTTAATTTATTTTTTGGATTTTTATCGTGAGCAGATCTTACAGTTTTGAATGAGTACCCTAAGATTCAATCGCTTTCAGCATTCAACTCTATCTATAATCACACAACCTTATTTGGAATCCATCAATAAACTTTCAGTTGTTTTATTTAAGTGATTATTTAATCCTTTTTATAAAAAATCCATGCAGAGTTTTGATTTTGTATCTAAAGTTGTTGATATAGCCGTGAAAGAACTCATTGCAGTTGCCACCAACAGAGAAAGTAAGCCATAATATGCCAAAGTTGAATTACTTTTTAAGAAATAGCAACCTACTTTTAGTGATTTGTTTATTATATTAAACTTTCATCTCTTCCTACTACTACAACATTAAAAATAAAAACAAAATCACATTTTCATTGTTTTAATTGGATATATTTAGTTTTTCCAATGCGGAGTCCTAGGGGTATTTTTGGAATATTTAGTTTTTCTAACTTTTATGCGGAGTCCTAGGGGCTACAAAAGGTGCTGGTGTTAGTGATGAAAGACAAGGTTCAGATTCAAAAAGTGTTGTAGAGCTAACAAATGGTTCTTCAAGTATGAAATACTCTAGGCATAATTATAATATAAAACTATAAAATAATTTCATTTTTTGATATATATTTTTTGTTTTGTTTTGCAAAGGATACTAAAGAGAAAATCTTGTAGAGGATATTTTTTGTTTTGTTTTGCAGAGGATATCCCTCACATTTTCCCAAATTACCCCTTCCTCTACAATGTTTTTTTGTTTTCTGTGTATTTTGTGCATCAGGTAAAGTTGATGGAAGAAAGGAATATGAAGCCACTTGATTCAAATCTTGCAGCATTATCAGCAAGATGCAATAAAGACTTGGAGTTGAATTTGGCTAAGTCATTCTTGAGTGAGATCGGCCAATGTACAACTGCTTATCCATATAATCAACTGCTTGGAGAATTAGTCTTAAAGAATTATGAAAGGCAAAATGCAACTTTACTTAGTTGGAATTTGATGTACAGAGTAGATTAGGTGCAAATTTAGATATTGTAAGAAATAGACATGTATGACATTAAATTTTATGCAATTGATTGTATTTTTTGTATATAATATTTTATTTCTATTATGAGACATTAAATTCAAATTTAATTTAAAAATTAATAAATATATAAAGATATTTTTTAGAACATTTAAAATTATGATACGCAAAAATGTGTGTCATCTTCATTTATGACATGACCTTTCTTGACAGGGGCTTCCTTGATACGCATTGTGAGTCATAAACACGTGCGTCGTAAGGTTACGTCACGCAAATGCGTGTCGTCTTCCTTTATGTCATAACCGCGCGTCGTAAATGCGCATCATAAATGCGCGTCGTCTCCCTTTATGACAGGGCCATTCTTGACGCGCATTTGCACGTCGTCTGAGCATTTTGCGACTTGCAATGAGCGTTGTAAAAGGTTGTTTTTCTAGTTGTGTAACGACCCTACCTTATTCAAGGGTGCGGTGGGTAAGAGTGGATACCCAATGACAGTTATTTTATACGGTGCTTCCTTAAACACCCATTATAGACTAGCTTCGTGAATGAGGCCTAATGGTAAGATTGACTCATCTTTTACATATATATATATATATATATATATATATATATATATATATATATATATATATATATATATATATATATATATATATATATATATATATATAGACATATTGATTTTTTAATATTATAATAGTATAAGGGTTGTATTTTGAACTTTAAAATACTAGGGTTTTAGAATTTCAATTTTTCAAAATTAAAATTTTAATTAAATTTTAAATTCCAAAACTAATGGGTGCAATTTGAAACTTTTCAAAGATATTCAAATCAAATTTTAAATCAGATTACCATATATTAAAATCAATTTATTAAGATAAAAATTATTTATGGTAACTATCCTAATCCAAAATAAATCAAAAAGTTCAGAAAATCTGTTGTCAAATGAGTCAACTCGTCAAGTTAGGGCTTAAACTCATCGACTTCAGCCAACTCGTCGAGTTCAACTTTGAACTCGTCGAGTTCCTCAGATAGAGAGCAAAAACGGTTTTGTTCCAGCCTTAGATAAATCACTATTGTATCAAATATAACAGAAAAACATTATTGGGCTCTGATACCATTGATGAGTTTTGATCATTACAGTATTCCTATGTGTAGATGCAACCCTAATTGGTTTGGATCTAGGTTTTTCTCAGGTTATATATGTAGACAAGATTTCCAAAGCAATAACCCTAACTCTAAGATATAAAATCGAAACTAATATGGTTTAGGTCTTACCTTTCTCTGGGGAAGCAGGTTGGCCGATTTCTAGAGGCCGGGGTTCCTTTTATAGTTGAGGCTTCTAGGGTTTTCAGTTGGAAACCCTAATTTCCTTGATTAGGCCCTAAGCAGTCCTTGGACCCCCCATATGATAGGCCTTAGATTAAAACTCTATGGGGCTTGGCATAGATTTTCATCCACTCCCTTTCAATAGAGTCCATCAGCCCAAAACTACAAATATCACCAATTTACATAATCGGTCCCCGTTCTTTTAATCAGTTCCTTTAACCACTAAATTAATTCCAAATTATTTTATGATTAAAAACTATTTAAATAATATTATTACTAATTAATATATTATTCCTATAATATATTAATAAACCATTTATTAATCCTATTCTCCAAAACTCATCCTATCCAGTTGGTATGGTGAAGGTAACCTAAAAGGACCATGCTACAATCAAATATAGTACATACCAATTATAGTCATAGGCTTAGACACCTAATCCAACAGGCTTATCCTTATTTCTTATTCTTTTTTGATGAAGGGCTTAGGGTAGAATCAAGTATTCGATTGTCTATAAGATCTAGTGTTATGTATGATCAACATACACGAATACTGTAGAGTTGGTGGAAGTTTCATTGATAGGTTATGTAAGAGAATGCGGCCAGTTGAGGAATGTATAGGCTTTCTCTGGGGAGTGAGAATAGGATGTATTTGTATTATAGTGTGTGATGATTGGGTCGTTGGGATGATCTACCGAGACAAATACGGGTAGGTGCGGGAGGTAGTATGGGCTCATACTACTGGAAGCACAACACACATATGCATAGCAGGGGAGTCACAACCCCTAGGGTTATTTTTTAGAATAGCTTATATGGTGTGAAATGAACTTCATCTGGTATTTTGTGGTTTATTTTCAATATGATAGTCATGAGGAGATTCGTGCCATGAGTTGGGTCGAGTGGCCATGATAGGTCGTGTTTTTTTATGATAAAATTAGGGCATTGATTTCTTCTAAGGTTGTGACTGCTATTCGGGGGCAAATACTAGAGCTATTTGGGTCTATCCAGATCGCCATGATTGAGTACTTTGACGACCAATAAGTTGCGTTTACTAAGGATGATGTTGTTGTAGCTACCATGGCCATTGTGGCTGCTGGGATTCGTGGAGAGAGAGCTTTCCAGTACCGAAACATCGACAATGTGAAGCCCCTAGTGTTTGATGGGGTTCAAGATCCGATCATTTCTATAAGGTTGTTGTATGACGTTGATGGATGTTTATTTACTTGCTCCTGCCCAGCCGACCAAAAGGTCAAGTGTGCCCTAAACCTTCTCATGTTGGGGGCAAAGGATTGGTGGATATTGGTTACTAGCTCTTACACTCTGGAGCAGAGCGCTGCTCTTTTATGGGAGAAGTTATCTGAGATGTTTCGCACGAGAGATGTTCCATTAGTTGTGAGGGAGATACCATCCCAGTAGTATTTGGATTTAAGGCAGGGGACGAAGTCGATGACTGAGATCACCAAGATGTTTACTGAGGGAGCATTGTTTTGTCTCGAGTTTGCTACTTCTGAGCAAGCTCAGATGACCTGGTACTTAAGCATGCTCAAGATGGACATCCTCCAGTTTGTGTCTACTTAACGTTGTGGTATACTTGTGGAGTTATAGGAGGCCGATAGGAGGCGGGAGATCGAGTTGGAACTACAGATGAGTAAGCGGACGCAGGCTCCAGAGCAGTCGTAGCCTGCAGCGAAGCAGTTCAAGGCCGCTGATGTGATATCTTGGAGTCAGAGGGGTCGCACTTGTAGCAAGTGAGGAACGATTCATGGGCGTTCTTGTTGATCTTCATTCAGGTGCCACAAATGTGGAATAGATGGGCATTATGCCAAGGATTGTCGATAACAAGTCCCCGAAACGACACCTGGATCGGTTACCACTATTAGCAGTTTTGCCATATTAATGTGAACTATCCTTTGCTCACTGTGGGACCAATGCAGGCTACAGCGCCAACTACTTTGAGGATCACCGATGGGCACCAAGGTAGGGCGGAGACCTCGAGGGCCCGAGCTCGTGCTTTTCAGCTCATTACAGAGGAAGTCAGGGTAGCATCAGACGACATTACTGGTGTGTTTCTATTTATCATTCTATCAATATTTTATGGTATGCTTATGTTTATGTTTCTCATAGGTACATTCTTAGTGAATTCTTTGCCCGATCATGTGTTATTTAACTCATGCGCGAGTCGATCCTTGGTAGCCCAATCTTTTAGTAGGAATTTTGATATGACCCTTAGCGAGTTGGAGTGTCTGTTGCGGATTTCTATCGCTAACGAACTTGGGATTTCTGCATCCAGAGTGTATACGGGTTATGTCTTGGAGATTTTCGTGGTGCCTTATCTAATTGATTTGATTACCATCCCCATAGTGGATGTATGTGTGACAGTGAGGATGGATTGGCTAACCAGGTTTGATGCTATGATTGACTATGAGGGTCAGTGAGTTGTAGTTTGAACCCAGAGTGGGGGAGAACTGGTCATCTATGGAGAGGGTACCAGGGTTAGATCAGGGTTTTGTTCGGTGGCCATGGCTCAACAGTATATTCAACATGACTGTATGGGTTATCTTACCTATGTCGTTGATTATTAGGTTGGGGAACAAGTCTCAGTTTGAGATGTGCCCATTGTCAAGGAGTTTAATGATGTGTTTCTGGAGGAATTACCTGGTGTGCCTCCTGAGAGGCAGGTTGAATTCATGATTGACCTAGTGGCAGGCCCGGATTCGATTGCCAAGATGTCGTACCATTTTGCACCACCTGAGATGCTGGAGCTATCCTCTTAGCTTCTAGAGCTATTAGGAAAGTAGTTCATCAGACCGAGAAATTCGTCGTGGGGAGCACCGATATTGTTCGTCAAGAAGAAGGATGGTTCACACCGGATGTGCATTGATTACTAAGAGTTGAAAAAGTTAATGGTGAAGAACCGTTATCTACTTCCACAGATTCACAACCTCTTTGATCAGTTGTAGGGTGCATCTTGGTTCTATATGATCGATCTGAGGTCGGGGTGTCATCAAGTGAGGATTAGAGAGGAGGACATGGAGAATACAGCATTTCAGACTCATTATGGGCATTACGAATTCATGGTGATGCCATTTGGGATCACGAATGCGCTCGCGGTGTTTATGGACTTGATGAATCGGCTATGCAGGCCGATGCTTGATCGATCATTTATTGTTTTTATTTATGTCATTTTGGTGTATTCCAAGACCAGAGAGCAGCATGATAAGCACCTATGAGAACTTTTGGGTGTTTTAAGGCGAGAACGGTTGTATGCCAAGTTCTCAAAGTGTGAGTTTTGGTTACGAGAGGTCCAGTTCTTGGGGCATCTCGTTAACCAGGATTGGATTTTGGTCGATCAAGCCAAGATTGAGGTTGTGATGCAGTGGGAGGTTTCGATGTCTCCCTCAGAGATCAGGAGTTTCCTTGTTTTAGCAAGATATCATCGGATATTTAACAAGGATTTCTCCAAGATTAATGTACCTCTCACTCATTTGACGAGGAAGGGCGTGGATTTCCGATGGTGCCCTGAGCAGCAAACGATGTTTGAGACACTACGATAGAGATTATGCGGGGCCCCAGTATTGACCCTTCCGGAGGGTGTTGAGGATTTTGTTGTATTTTTTGATGCTTGCGTCACTGGTTTGGGGATGTTTCTGACATATATGGGGCGAGT